TCCATTTCAGCCGCAGCTAACAACTGCGGCTCTGGGCCGCGGTTTAAGGCCGGCTTGTGTTCTTCGAGCCGCGGTTTGCGGCCGGCCCGCGGTCGATTCATTTTTTTTTTCATTTTTTTAATTAAAAATGTTTTTAAAGTAATTAAGAGAGTTAATAATAATTTTTTTTTTCAATAATGCTTAAATATGAATATTCATCAATAAAATTTAATAAAGAAATTAAATATTAATATTTCTAAGAATATTAAATATTAAGTATTTTGTAATAGTACTTAAATATGAATATTAAATATTAATATTTATAACTAATATATATTAAAAATTATATTGATAATTATACTAATTATGATACTAAGTATTATATTAGTATAAATTAATTAGTATTTAGGATAATTAAACATTATATTTATACTACTATATTAGTTATACTACTATATTAGGATATTAATATTTAATTTCTTTAAATAATTAATTTCTTTAGGATAATTAAACATTCTATAAATACTAATGTAGGATAATTATTAGCACAATTATACTTCTAATTATACTACCTACTCAACTACTATAATAGTATAAAATTAAATTAATTATACTATAAAAAATTTTATTAGCATTAAATATTAAGTTATAATTAGAATGAATTTCTTATAAAACTTAATTTATAATATTGATATAGGATATTATACTGGACCCGGTTTGATGGATAAAGCGGATACATATTGGAAGATAAGCCCACTAAGGCATCTAAGCCCAACTTGGGCCCAAAAGGTACACTCCCCCTATAAAAGGGGGCCAAGGTACCTCATTCTCTCATCCTCTCTATTCATTACAATACTACACTTTCTCTCTCTTGATCTGAGCACTGACTTAGGCATCGGAGGCCCGACGTCGGGGCCACCCCCGGCGTTGGGTTCTGCAGGTACGGAGGCCGGTTCGAGTTGAGGGAGCCCGGGTGAATCTTATTCACTTCAAATATTATAAATTATTTTATTAACTTATTAACATATATGGTAAGCAGGGGTCAATCGAAGATTTTGGAGGAGACAGTGTTGATTACGGATGTTGTTTCGCTACAAGTGACCTATTTGATAGTTGTGACGAAGCTGTTAAATGGGCAAAAAACATTGCAATAATATGGGGTTTCCAGTTCGTGATCTCGAGAAATTTAAGTAACGAAGAAAAAGAGTTGAGGTGTCATCGAGGGGAACGTTACAGAGGTACTGCAGGAAAAGTAGGAAATTTCGTTAAGGCTGTTATGAGAAAATCGAAAACAAAATCCACCGGCTGCCCTTTTATGATAAACGTCAAACGTGATGCAACATCCAAAAAATTTTGTATCTCGGTTCCTTTAGATAACGAGAAGGGGACGAATAATCATGCGTTTGCTGTGAATCCCGAGGGTCAGCGACAGATGAGCGGACTCAGCGATCCATCCAGAGAGATTGTCCGTGATATGAGTTCTGCTCAGGCACCACCGGCAGTAATTCTGGCTGCAATTCAGGAGAAACACCCTGTGGACAACGCGACTATCCGACAAGTGTATAATTATAAAGCTAATTTGCGGAAAGAAAGTTTGGAGGGGAGAGATGTGGTTGGGCAGCTTCTGCATTTGGCTACGGTCAGCAAGTACATAGTTTATACTGACGTTAATCCGAGCACACAGGCTTTGACACATGTGTTTATGTCGCATCCACAAGCAGGCAGTCTATTCCGGACATATTACTGGTATGTCGGTATAGATTCCACGTACAAAACCAATAGGTATGTACTTTACTTTATAAATAGACAGTTGATTGTGAATCTTATTTTGATTATTATGTTTGATTGAGTAAGTTTGTTTATTGTATGTTTTATCTTCTTGTTACATGAATCATATGCCGCTGGTGGAGATGGTTGGGATGACGCCGTGCAATAGGAACTTCTTAATTGCCTATGCAATTATGAAGGACGAGAGCGCGTCCAGCTATTACTGGGTCCTACAGCGGTTGAGACTTCTTCTAGAGCCAACTAAAAATCCTTCAGTCATTGTCACTGACAGGGAGTTGGGGTTGATTACTCCTGTCCACACGAATTTCCCACAGTCGGCCCACCTATTGTGCACGTGACACATCAACAAAGATGTGGAAGACAATGTGTATAAACTAACATTAAATAATAAGGTCTTCGCAAAGAAGTTCATGCACGGCAGGTGGAAGAAGGTCGTCGAGGCGAGCACGTTGGATGCATACGAAGCTGCCTTAGCTGATATAAATGCTACATACGCGAAATTTCCTCGTGTGCTAGAATATGTGAAGAAGACATGGTTAGGCTATAAGGAGAAATTTGTCAGAGCGTGGACGAACTCATTGTTACATTTTGGCAACACGACGACGTGTAGGGTGGAGAGTGCCCACGCTACGTTGAAGAGGTGGCTGCACACGTCGACCGGTTCGCTCGACACGGTGTGGGAGAAGATTGACAAGGAGATTGAGTCTCAAATGACTCAAATCAGGTATATTCCTTAATTAATACATATTTATTGTGTTATTACTGCATTCATTATATAATATGTTTGATTTATGCCTAATGTTATGTAATGTATTACCAGGGAAACGCTAGAGTCTTCGAGACATAGTATGCATACGGGTTACCATGGATTCCCATTCACGCAGTTGAGATTGCGAGTTTCGCATTATTGTTTGGATCTATTGAATGATGAGTTTCAGAGGATGCGAGACTTGGGCGAAGATATTTTGGATCGCTGTGGATGTGTGAGTTACACTCATGGGCTTCTTTGTGCCTGTCAGCTAAATGGGGCATATACTATGAGTATGGAAATTACGCCCGACATGATTCACGAGTTCTGGAGCACACTAGTGGTGAATGAGCCAAGTATAATTGTGATGTTGAGTGTGTTGTTTAATTTTTTCACGTATTCTTTCATTTATATAATTAATTATTTATAGTGGGTTGTTTAATTTTTTAAATTTTTTTAACGGACAGGTCACCAGAGTGCATCAGGAAGTGGATGGACAGATCGTGATAATTTTCGGAGGCTTGCATTAGAGGTTGAAGAGGCCGATCCTGCAACGCTGAGGTACATTACTCAGTTCATGGACTCTACACTTCACCCCGACCAACAAGGTTACACAGAACCTCCAGTGATTGAAAATCCGAGAGGTCGGCCCAAGAAGCCTAATTCAACAAAGCGAGATCCATCCAAATGGGAGTACAGTCAAAGAGGCCGCCGTAAAAGCACTTCTTCCTATGCTCAATCGCAGTCGGAGTACATGGATACAGATCGTCGGGTTGGGCGTAAGAGCACTTCTTCGTGTGCTCCATCAGTCTGGGAGTACAGGGAAAGAGGTCGTCCAGTGGGGCGTAAGAGCACGTCTTCGTGTGCACCGACAAGCTCGTCTTCTCAACCTTCTGATGATCCGACAGGTGATTTTTATTTTTTTATTTATCTATACGATAATTAATCATGTTTGTAAATTCGATTATTTAAATTCTGACGTGAAATTATTCTAATATTACAGAGACTTTCTCGACGCCCTTCTTTTAATATATATATCAAAAAATTTGAAAAAAAAAAAAAATCAAAAATTACGAAAAAAATTTAATATAAAATTGAAAAAATTCGAAATAAATTTATTTTATTATTTTGAAATAATACTTAAATATGAATATTCAATAATAAAATTTAATAAATATATTAAATATTAAAATTTTATTATTTTTTTTTTTTCGTTTTTTGATGATCCGACAGGTGATTTTTATTTGAACCATAATTAATCATGTTTGTAAATTCGATTATTTAAATTCTGACGTGAAATTATTCTGATATTACAGAGACTTTCTCGACGCCCTTCTTTGAATATCGGCATTCTGACAAAATTCCCTACTTAGTGCATTCCTACGTAGAGAGCTATCTGGATGTGACACCGGATGGGAACTGTGGATTTCGGGTGGTGGCGAGTTACGTGTATAGGGATCAGAATATGTGGCGTTATGTCAGAAACAACATGGTAAATGAGATTTTAGCAAACAGACAACGATACTATCCTGTGTATTACTATGCCCTCGATGTCACAGTCAATCGAATAAGATGGGAAGGGGGTGGTTGTGGGCAGGAGCATTGGATGGAAGGTTTAGGCGACCTCTTTGTAATTGCTACATTGTTTAATGCAGTTGTCGTGTTGTTAGGCAAAGGTGAGACAAATGACAATATCAACTGGAATAGTTTGACATTCTTGCCGCTGCACGCACCATCCACCGCTACGGGACCTGAACGCGAGATCGTGATAGGTCATCTTGGTTCTTACAAACACTACATTCGTCTTAATTTATCATCTGATTCTCCATTGCCCCCTATATGTTCATTCTGGGATAGATACCGAGATGGGACGGTCGCAGAATATGCTAATTTGTACCAGAGGAGGATCAAGTTGTGGCGTCTTATTCGTAGTACAACTGGATCGTGATATACTATGATATTCAACTTATGTATTATGGGTGATACCGAGATTGTGCACCATTTTCTTTTATTTATTTATTAATCTATGATATTAGAGGTGTGACGCGCAGACAAATAAGATCCAAATGAGCTAACAACAAATAAAAGAACAAAAAACAAAAACAGTTCAACTAAAATTAACTTGTACGTACAACAAAGTCAATAATATAAGATATATATAAAAAGAAAACATTCAGCCCATCACCGCTTCGCCCTATCCCAATCGGCATTAAGTAGGTTCAGCTCACGTGCAAATTGCGCAGCCAACTCAGAACCATCACTCTCCAATCGCCGCAGCTGGTATGCCCACACGGATTGGTACGGTCCGACCCACTACACAAAATAGATGAATTAAAATATATGATCACATATAAATTTTTTAAAAAAAAATGTAATGACGGAATATTAACTAAATTTTATGATCACATATAAATTTAAAAAAAATGTAATGACAAAATATTAACTAAATGTAATGATCACATATAATTTTTTTTAAAAAAAATGTAATGACAGAATATTAACTAAATTTTATGATCACAAATAAATTTAAAAAAAAAATGTAATGACAAAATATTAACTAAATGTAATGATCACATATAATTTTTTTTTTTAAAAAAAAAATGTAATGACAAAATATTAACTAAATTTTATGATCACATATAAATTTAAAAAAAAAAATATAATGACAAAATATTAACTAAATTTTAGTCAAAGACTTACATAATCGCAGTTGGCGCGCGCAGGGACCGCGTCGGCGTCCGGCAGAGTCTGAGGCAGAAGTCTAGGATGAGAAACCCTCTCATACCATCTCAGATAGTCTCGATGGGTCTGCCCTCGATCATCTACGGGGGTCTCCGTAAAATCAGACAAGTGCAGAGAATGAGGGACCGGGAACTGGTTCTAGCTATCCTCGGCTGCATTATCAGCATGCTCAACCATGTACGACTGAGACTCCCAAGGCCTATTTACCTGTGTCGGACGGTAAATGCCAGGA